ACTTGAGACCCTTTTCGCAAGTATACCAGACTTAGGCTGGGCCATTTTTGCCGTGGATAAGAAAGTGCACTTTTCTGAGTTCTGAGCAGCAATTCTAGGCTCCATTGTGTTAGTTGGTGATTCCCTATTAGACTCTGTTTTGTTTGACAAGTTGAGAGCATAGCCAAGCTGGGCCGATATCCCAGAAAGAACACTCAATTTTGATTGATGTGCGCTAGTTGATTCAATGGATATACTATTACGATCAGGAATTTTATGTTTTGCCGGCCCATGAATGTCAGCAGATATTTGAGAAGTAATTCGCTTGGAGGGTTGCTGAGTAAGATTAGTCGAATTGATAGGCAATGTGCGTTCATTTTTTTCACCTGTTCTGCATTTGCCTAGCGTTTCCAGTTTTGAAATAGGATGATCTAACTTAGCGGGGCAATGAGGAGCAACTTTATGTGCAGTGTTGTAGGCCTGGGATATCAATGCATTTGATTGGCTCAATTTATGCTTGTTAAATGAATTAATCACATACTCTAAGGGCTTGTTTTTACTTTTTGGTTGGCTTTCTAACTTAGGCGATGGCAATGATTTAGATAGTGGCCCCTTTGTGTGAGTATCCGATTTCGACCTCGGGAGCAAAACAATATCCGGCTTGGCCTGGACCATGAAATCTTCCTGAGCCTCTTGCGTAAGTAATGAAGGTTTTTTCGTTCCTTGCTCAACATTTTTCTTTGCCAGATCAAGTAGATCCTGAAAGTTAAATGACTTTTTGCTCGTATTTTTTACTTCATTTGTAGGCTTAGAAGGTTGGAGGGGTAAGCTTTCTCGCTTAATTTTTTCAGAGCTCTTTGATAGAGATATGGCTTCACTTGGTTTTGCTATTTGAACCGATTTTGATTCTTTGTCGCAATTACGGACTTGAAACGGTGATGCAGGCAATGACTTTTGATTTTGTCTATGTATTGCGTTTATAGGAAGAATATCATTTTCATGAAGGCTGTTTAAGCTGGGGCTCACAACTGGGTCTAACTTTGCTTTTTTGTAGAGAATTTCTGCAGCTTCTGCTTCTTTTCTTTTTGCGATAAGTTTTTCCTCTCGTATCTGCTCAATCTTTCTGACCTATCCAAAGAAAAGTCAATAGCAAATAACTACCTGGGCATTATTTTTTTCTTGATTTTTTTTGGCAAGTCTTATGAAGTCGTGAAAATCCATACGCTCTCAAACAAGGCGGCGATAAATTTTACAAGTATTAACCAAAAAACTATTACAGCAAAATAACTATTAAAACTAATTTATTTGTGAAACCATACGATTTTATTTAATTTGTCTTAAATTTTTTAGGAAAGGGAGCTTTATGCTTACTTATTAAAATGTGTTTAATGGAATCATGTCATGATTAGGCAAGGCAAGAGTTATAGAATGCAATAGCTATAAATTTTACTAGTTTATAAATAATATTTTAATTAAGAGTAAAGAAATTTATTCCGAAATGCTGAACCTTGGCAGATAAGACTTGAGTTTATTTGGAAAATGAATTATATGGTTCACTATTCAAATACATGTCAATATCCGTTGCGTTGTATAAATCCGTATTTATTAAAGAAAAGTGAAATTGCATTGTTAGGAGGAGTAGAAATGTGTAATTTCTAGGTTGAGTGATAAAGATGACATATATAACAGATATCAAATACAAGTAGAGATAATTATACAATAAATCGACAGATATAATTCTAATTTTATCTTATTTTTAATTAGGATAAGAAAAAAACATACTAACCCAAAATTCAGAATAGAAAGAGAAAAATATGTATGAAATTGGATAAAATCTAAGTCTAATTTAGTCGGACATGGATCAGCCTCACACATGGTCAAAATGTGCTATAAAATTAGTTATATATTGAATGCTATTTGCTATGGTAATTTGATAGCAGGTAAATGAAATCTTA